AACAGACTCTCGATTACTCATATGCAAGTTGAAGTTGAGGAAAATTAAAGCAAGTCCACAAAAACCAAAACACAACTTTCAGTCTATACCACCTGAATTTAAAAATCATCTCAAGAACATGTTTGAGGCATTGAACAGTAAAGACTGAAGACAAGATGAATTATGGAACAACATTAAAGATATCATTCAATAAAGAGCAACAGGTCATCACAAAGACAGAAGAGAAAGAAAAGACCAAAGTGGATGTCAGTAGAAACTCTGAAAATTGTACTGTGTCATTGAGAAGCCAAAATAAAAAGAAGAGATGACAAAGTGAAAGAGATGAGCGAAAATTACAAAGGACAATCCAAGAAGACAAAGTATCATAATGGAACGTGCAAAGAACTGGAGTTGAAGAATAAAAAAGGATGACCTTGCTCAGCATTCTCAAACTGGAATAAATGAAAAACAAATTCAAGCCTTGAGTTGCAGTTATGAGAGATGCTATGGGGGAAATCTTGAATATTCCAGAATTATCAAAAGAAGGTGGGGGGAATATATGGAGTCACTGTACAAAAAAGAATTGAATGACACAGAAATATTTCAAGAAGTAGCTTTATAATAAATGGTAAATGGTGATGAAGGGAAAAGTTCGTTACATTGAAGGCTTTGGCAAAAAAGAGGCCCAGGAATTGATGGGATATCAGTTGACATGTTCCAAATAACAGATGAAACCCTGATGTGCTCATTGGTTTGTGCCAGGAAATTTGGAAGTTACTTTGGCCTACTGACTAGAAGAAATCCATATTTATTCCTATTCCTAAAAAAAGATGATCCAACCAAAAGAAGGTGAAATTATTGAAGAATATCATTAATATCATATACAAGCAAAATGTTGTAGAAGATTATTCAAAAATTGTTAGAACAATACATTGCCCGAAGTTCAAGCTGGGTTTTGAAGATGTTGTGGCACCAGGAATATCATTACTGATGTCAATGATTAGTTGAAAGCAGAGATCTATTTATGCTTTATTGACTATGTAGAAGCATTTGACTATGTGGATCATAAAAATTTATGGCTAACATTGAGAAAAATAGAAATCCCAGAGCACTTACTTGTGATCATATGAAACCTATACCAAGACCAAGAAACTGATTTATGAACAGAGTAAGGGGACACTGCATGATTTAAACTCAAGAAAGGTGTGAGTCAGAGTTGTATTTTTTTTCTCCATGCCTATTCAATCTGCATGGCAAGTAAATTGTTTAAGAATTGGACTCTATGAAGAAGAATGTGTCATTAGGATCAGAGAAAGACTCACCAACAATATGTATGTACTATGCAGACAACACAACTTTGCTTGATGAAAGTGAGGAAGACTTGAAGTGCTTGCTTTAAGTAATATGGATTACATCACAATATCAAGAAAGCAAAAATCCTTATTACTGGGCCAGCAGACAACATTATAATGGATAAATGGAGAAAAGATTAAAATTGTCAATAATTTAGCCTTGCTTGGATCCACAGCCAACACCCTAGGTACCAAAAGTCAAAAGATGTGTTGCATTGAGGAAATCTTCTGAAAAGCATCTCTTCAAAGAGTTAAGCAGCAACAATTAAAAGACCAAGGTGCACCCGATTTAAGCCATACTGTTTTCAATTATGTGCTTGCTATGCATTGGACAATGAAAAAGGATGACAGAATTTGATACTTTTAAGTTGTGCTCTTGGAGAAGAGTATTGAATATCCCATGGGCTGCCAAAGAACAAAAAGATATGTCTTGGAGAAACTGTAACCAGGGTGCTCGCGGGGGCAATGGTGAAATCTCATCTTAAGTACTTTGGGCATGTGTCAGGAGAGGCCAGCCCTTGGAAAAGATATCATGTTGGGAAAAGTGGAGAGTTAGTGAAAGAGGGAAAGACCCTCAGCAAGACGGATTAATACATGACTATGACAATGGGCTTGAGTATTCCAGAAACAATGAAGATTGCACAGGATAAGGCAGGATTCAGATCTGTTGTTCAGAGGGCTGCTAAGAGTTGCACTGGACTCTACAGCATATAACAGCAACAATAGTATATTGTGGTCTGTTTGTGTAAAGATGTAAAGAGTTTGTGGCTTTCTCCTAACTTCATGGAGTCTCATTTCACCTGTGTAGAGACCCCATGGGACTGTTCCCTGCCCCATCCCCCCTGTAAGTTTTCCTTTGCTGAACTGAAGCTAAAAAGGAAGGTCTGGTGGCTGGGCAGTAGTTGTACTGCCAACCTCAAGGAACATAGTTGAAATCCAGTTACTCTGCAGGAGAAAGCTGAACAATTTTCTGTGCAATTTACTGACTCTGAAAACCCAATGGAGGGTGAGCTATAAGTAGGTTCTGAATCTACGGTACTTAACAACAATGTCTTTTAGTTTGTCTCTGGGTCAGTTTTCCAATTGTCTGTAAACTCAAACATTTGAGTGTTTTCCCTCTGGGGAGCAAACCTCAGCACAATTCAATCCCCAACTAAATCTAGGCTTCTACTTCTCTTCCTAGTTTTCCCCTCCCCCTCTGGACTTTGCCCTGAGTCACAGACTTGATCTTTTTCACTCTTGCTCCACCTCACCCCTCATAATGGCTGGGGTGTGGGGGAGGGGAGCCCAACTCTCCCAAGAGAGAGGATAAGGGAGGGTGTCTTCCTGAAAGGACAATGTGTGTTGCCTAGAGCCTCATCACTGGCCATCTGTGTACCCATTTGACAGTTGTGTCTGCAGTCCTCCACCTATGCCTCAGCCTGCTGGACTCTGTTTAGCAGCAGCCCTTTGATTAGTCCCTTTGTTCAGCAGCAGCTCTTCCACTATCCTCTTCTGTGGAGCCTTGCTCCTGACCTCTTGTTCTTTCTTGATGGCCTCAGAGGTGAGCCTTGTGCCCTTCCCTGCCTTGCCAGCAGATGAGGGTGCAGGAGATATATATATATATAATTTTCCCCCCTCTCACCAGTCCACTTGGCCAGCTTTGAAGCAAAAGTTAAAGTCACTATTATGGTGTGGGAACCAACTCCACAGGGGCTTCAGAGGCTGGAAGGTGTAAAGGAGAGGGTCCATCTTTCTCTAGTCTAGTAGCTGGTGGATTCTAACCACCTGCTTCTGGAAAGCAGAGAAACTCCTTACCCACTAGGGTTCTAGACACCCCATTGCAGCTCCTCTAGTTGCACTCCTCTCTAAGCGCACAAGTAGATTTCTCAAGAATTCTGCTAAGAAGGTACACAGTGGCTCAGCACATTGCAGGGGAGGGAGGTGCTAGGATGGGCTTTCTGAGAGAGCCCAGACCTGCTGTGGCTGCCTGGGCAGACCCTCAGTGAGAGAAGGGACATGATGCAAATCCACAGATGCCTGACTCAGGAATGTGGAGGTAGGCAATGGGGCAGGGGGAACTGTGTAGCACAGGGACTTCCGCCATGTGCACTGAGTGTCTCACCCTATGAACTGAGAACAGGTGCAGGTGCTGTTGGCCAGGATGGACCTTCCTGGACGGGCAAGCTGTGTAGCTCCAGCCTTGGCTGCTCCTGTCATTCCTCTACAGGTATATGCGTGACATTCCTGCATCAGTAGAGCCCCAGGTAGGGATTTACAAGTGAGGGAGTTCCTGGTTGTACCACTGGGGAGGACTGCCAGATTTAGCAAGATCTGCCCTTCTGCCCAGACCCTTGCCCCTCTTTGAGTGAATGTTCCTGCTGATGAATCACCAAAGCTGAGGAAAAGGTCCTAACTGTTGTCATATTTTTAATCTTCTGTTCTCCTGTTTGCAGGGTGTTTGCCCAGATCCCACAGTTATGTGGGAAGGCAGCAGAACACAGGCACCATTCCCGGGAAAGACATCCCACAGTCCCCTCACCCAACCTTCCAGAACATGCTCAATATTACTACTGAGCACATTCCAACACAAAATTTCCAGAACAATGACTCAGAGGCTAACAGGAAAAGTAGGGTAAAGCACTTGCTTCCCTCTCCCTACATGGTATCAGCCTGAAACCATATGGAGGACAGGAACTTCTTACTTTGTGAGCAGACTTGGTCTCTAAAGGGAGATGACCAGAGGCTCAGGGCCACTGGCTATGAGTCTATGAGCCCTGGTGTGTGTGTGTGTGTGTGTGTGTGTGTGTTGCATGTCAGTGATGGCTTGAGAGCACAAATCCTCACTTTTGTTCTCTTGACCAGTGGGATGAACAGATGGGGAGCAGATGGTAAGGGGCCTCTACAGAGAGGCCTGTAGCCTATCTGCCCTTGTCTTCTGGGCAGCTGTGCTCAGGCCAGACAGAGCCATGCCCTAGAACTCCAGGTGCTGTGTATACATTTCTTCTTCCACTGACGCCAGGGCCAAGTTCCACTTTTCAGTACAACTAGAGATCCTGGGCTCTCTCACTTGACGGCTTCACTGAGCAAGATCCGTAAGAGACGACTTTGTCAGGGCTGACTGTCCCCTAAACTCTGCCACTATCTCAGCATAAAAAGCGAGATTCCAAAGTGGTGGAATAGTTTCTGCATCCAGAAGCTCTGCCTGTGTTTGCTGGATGACTGAATGAGGTCACACTGCCACTGAGTTGGGGATGATGACAGTTGACAAAGCCAAGCCCAGTCAAAACTCCAGAAAGGTGGAAAGGATGAGCCCTCCGCAGTGGCCTCAGGCTTTCCGTCTTGGGGTTCGCAGTCACCTCAGAGGTGTCTGGCTAGGGTGTCTCCTCTTTGTTTAGTGGAGATGTAGTGGCTGAGAGATCTCAGAGGCGCAGATCCCCACCCCTGGATTCTCCTCTAGGCTTCCCCCACACCCGTCTCGCTGTTCTCATCCAGGCCAACTCGCCCCGCCGCCCAGTCCCTCCCCTCCCCCCTCCCCCTCGTTCCGGAAAGCCAGAGGCGCTAGGGGGACGCTGGTCTGCGGCTGGGGCGCGCGCCTGGGAGACTGGTCCAGGGCTGGGGCGCTCTCGGGGAGGCTGGTCTGTGGCTGCAGGCACCCCAGGAGGCGGGGTTGGAGCCGCAGGGTGCGGGATGGCTACGGGGTTCACGGCCCGCCTGCTCGGCTGCGTGGTGGCACTGCTGCTGCTGTGTCCCGGCGCACGCGTGCATACCGTACTTACCGACGGCGAAATTGAAGAGTTTCTCGTGGGCTTTCTGTCGGAGCCACAGCAGAAGCCCGGGCAGGAGGACAAACAGCCGCCCATCCAGGACACGCGTGATGTTCTGGCGCGAGGCAGGGAGGCACGGCCCGAGGCGGCAGCCAAGGGTAAGAGGAAGGCTGGGGGTGGTCCAGGGCTTTCTGTACTTCGGTGAGAAGCTCTCGGAGGGCTCAGCAGGGTGGAACACCAGCCCGAGAGCTGTCCAGATTTGCACTGACCTCTGCTGAGCCCGATGCGCTGCGGAAGTTGGGGTCGGAAAGGTGTGTGCGGGCCTGGATCGTCCACTCTATGGTCAGAGCCACTTGTGCGTACTGAGTAGGCAGGTCTCCCTTGGCGGAGCCGGCTGCACAGGCTGTCCAACGCCCCCAGAGGGACTGGCCTTGTGCCTAGAGGGGTGTAAAGGGACTGCCTACTCCCCATTCCCGCGTGTTGGTGGTACGTCGCAGCAGTTTTTCTTCTAACAGAACCGCGCAGGCCCTCCCAGGGACCCTCTACCCTGGGTTTAGTTGGGGGCTTCAAGGGTTTGTAGACATCACCCCTGCCACTCAAGCGCCCAATGGAAGTGAGTCCTGGTTCATTACAAAGATTAAAGGAAGTGATGCATCACAGAAGCATTTAACTCAAGGCCTCTTACATAATCAGTTTTCAATAGATCTTTCTTGTTTGTTGGAATCCGAGGAGGGTAGCAAAAGTAAGATTATGTCTCCTTCCCAGAAGACACCCTCCCCCATCCCCCTAGCTCTAGATCTTTCTGGCTCCTCTTCAAGGGCGAGTTCATAGTGCCTTGGACTGCCCTGCTGGTCCTGCACTCTTGGCTGTATTTGCTGTTTATGCTCAAGATCTTGGGAGCGTTACCACTGGGCTCTGCTTGAGACCAGGGCAGCAGAGATGGCAGGTCCCAGGACCCCCTCCTACTGCACCTTTGTCTTCTGTGAGACCCCAAGACCCCTGTTTACCGACCCACACCTTTTGCTTCTTGCCTTGAGAGAAACTCCTCTTCTGGGATTTTAGGCTCACTCAGTGACCTGTTCTATTGAAGTTGTTCTTGTCCTTAAAGTGTCCTGGGTTTATGACCCTTCCAGAGCTAGTGAGGAATGAGCCTACCTCCCCACTAGGCCATGTCCTCAGGGCTTCATGGCTGGTCCTCTGTAGCCTCTCCACCACCAACTGGGTACAGTGAAAAGTGGGTTTTGAAGGTTCCCTGCTGAGGTTCTGGTGGCCCTTGAGAACTGACTGTCCAGTGTTCTGTCTGCAGAATGGCCATGATTTTGTGACGACAGCCCTAGGTGCAGCCAGGAAGCTCAGGTTCAGATATCTGTGCAAATTGCCTCAGCCTCAGTTCTTGGTCTCTCTGAAGAACTGATGAGAACCACTATATCCACTGTTGGGTCACTGAGGGGCTTTCTGTTCATTCAACTTTTATTGGAATCTCCCACAGTGCCTTTGGAAAAAGCAGAAGACAAAGGAAGGAAAGGGAAGAAGGACAAAAGTGTCAAACCAACCAAGCTACCCTTAAATGGGTCCCCCAGACCACCCAAAAAGCACAAGAAGAAGCCACCCAGGAAGCCCAAGGAGAAGCCACCAAAGGCCACCAAGAAGCCCAAGGAGAAGCCTCCCAGGGCCACCAAGAAGCCCAAGGAGAAACCACCCAAGGCCACTAAGAGGCCCATAGCTGGGAAGAAGTTCACTGCCCCAGCCCCCTTCGAGAACTTGGAGTGGCCACCGACCCTGCCATCCAATCTTGGCTCTACAGAGCTTCCCCAGGAGGGAGGTGCGTATCAGGCTCTTACAGAGCAGGACTCTGGCTTCTGACCTACTGCAGGGATGTGATGAGTCCCTGGGCTTCCTGTAGACCCCCAGGACCCCACTGAGTAGGCTCCAGAGCCTTGCTTCGACAAACCTGACAATCTAATTGGAAAGCTCTTGTTAGGGCAAAGTCCCGTGCTGGCTCAGGAGAGGGTTTGGGGGCACTGTGGGTGAGATTTATGCTTTACTTCCCTGTGACCTTTGTCCCCTGACCACCTAGAGCCATCTCACTCATGTGTCCCTGGAGCCTAAGGCCACAAGGCTCCCTTCCAGCAGGTGGAACACAACAGCTAAGGCATCAAAGCCCACCTTTGCTCTGCAATCTCACTGTCAGGGAAGGCCTGCCCACCTGCTCTGGGGGCTTCTGTGTTGCAGGTGGGACCTTGCCAACCCCCTGGCGGGGTCCAGGAAGAAAGGAGCACCAACCAGGTAAATGGCAGCAGCTGCCTTGGCCTCAGCATGGGTGACTAAGTGCCAGAGCTCTGGCACTGCCAAGTTCTGCAGAACTCTGTTGTTGTTATGTGCCGTCAAGTTGCCTACGACTCATAGCGACCCTATGTACAACAGCCCTAAACTCCGCTCTGTCCTGTGCCAATCGTACCGTCTCTGACACTCCCATCCCAATTACCCAGTCACTGAATCAATCCACCTCATAGAGGGCCTTCCTCTCCTGCGCTGTCCCTCCACCCTCCCAAGCATGATGTCCCTCTCCAAGGACCGGTCTCTCCTCACAACATGTCCAAAGTATGTTAGACGGAGCCTCAGAATCCTTGCCTCCAAGGAGCCACCTGCTTTAACCCTTTCCAGGACAAATCTGTTTGTTTTCCTAGCAGTCCATGGTATTCTCAATACTCTTCTCCAACACCACAGCTCAAAGGCATCAATTCTCCTTCTATCCTCCTTGGTCATTGTCCAACTCTCTGATGCATAACAAGTGACTGGGAAGACCAAAGCCTGTATCAGACGCACCTTAGTCTCCAGAGAGACACCACTGCTCTTCAGTACTTTGGAGAGGTCCCTAACAGCAGACTTTCCCATTGCAATGCACCTTTTAATTTCCTGGCTGCTGGTGCCAAGACTGTTGACTATGGAGCCAAGCAAACTAAAGCTGTGTACAATCTCAATCTCTTCACCATCCATCCTGATGCTGCCAATTGGTCCAGTGGTGAGAATCTTTGTCTTCTTGACACTGAGCCTCAATCCATATTGTAGGCTGCAGTCCTTGACACTCTGCAGCAGGCGCTTCAGGTCCTCTTCAGTTTCAGCAAGCAGGGTTGTGTCATCCATGTAACGCAGGTTGTTGATAAATCGTCCACCAATCTTGACCTCACATTTCTCCTCATAGAGCCCAGCCTCCCGCATAATCTGTTCTGCATATAGGTTGAAAAGGTATGGAGATAGGATGCATCCCTGGCATACGCCCTTCCCAATTTTGAACCATGCAGTGTTCCCTTGCTCTGTTCTGATGACTGCCTCCTGGTCCAAGTATAAGTTTCGCATTAGAACGATCAAGTGTTCTGGGATTCCCATTCTTCTCAGAGTCAGCCATAGTTTGTTATGATCTACACAGTCAAATGCCTTTGCATAGTCAATGAAACACAGACAGACATTGCTCTGGTATTCCCTGCTTTCAGCCAAGATCCATCTAACATCAGCTACAATATCTCTAGTACCACGACCCTTTCTAAACCCAGCCTGGACTTCTGGTAGTTCTCTGTTGATGTGCTGTTCCAGTCGTTTTTGGATAATCTTCAGTAAAATCTTCCTTGCCTGTGAAATCAGTGAGATTGTTCTGTAGTTTCCACATTCGGTTGGGTCACCTTTCTTTGGGATAGGAACAAATATAGATCTCTTCCAGTCAGTTGGCCAAGTGGTCGTTCTCCAGATTTCTTGGTACAACTTGGTGAGCACGTCCAGGGCAGCATCTGTTAACTGAAATATGTCAATTGGTATACCATCTATTCCTGGAGCCTTTTTTTTTTTTGTGTTTTTCTTCGCAGCCTGCTGTTCTTCTTTCATCACCATAGGCTCTTGCTCATATGTTGTTTCATGAAATTCTTCTGTCTCTTCCAATTCCTTTCGATACAGTGACTCAGTATACTCCTTCCATCTTCTTTTAATACTTCCTGGATCATTTAACATTCTGCCGCAAGCATCCTTGATTATAGCAACTCGAGGTTTGAATTTGTTCTTCATTTCCTTGAGCTGCAGAACTCTAGACATATAAAATCTTTAGAGTCTAGGCACACCAATACTGTTTAGTCAATGTTAGCATTAAAGTACTTGTCATTAGAACCGTGGTTGCCCAGGTTCCTGGGTGGGCTAAGTGGGGGTGGGGAGTGATGGACCACCATGCATCCTCAGGACGGCAGCTGTGAGCCTTTTCCCTTTAGAGCCAGAGGAGGAGCTGCCCACTCTGGACTACAATGACCAGCTAGAGCGAGAGGACTATGAGGACTGTGAGTAGAATGCCACCACCTGGGGGGCCCAGTTTGTGTCTCATTCAGGACCACTGGAGGCCCTCTGGCCCTGGGTATGTGTGGCTTCCTTCAGCACCCTTTCTCCTCAGTTGAGTACATCCAGCGCCAGAAGAAGCCCAGACTTCCCCCAAGCAGGAGGAGGCCCGAGAGGCCTGGCCCTGAAGAAACACCTGTGCCCCCTCGCCTGGTGGTTGAGGGCCCAGAAAGGGCTGGTAGGACAGCAGCATCCTCCCTGGGTCCCTGGTGGCAAGGCGGGTGACCACAAGGGAGGCAGGTGAGGAAGTGGGTAGGGGGTCTCAGGCTTGGTGTCAACACTGTCCCGTGTAACCACAGAGCAGCCTCTGCAGCCCTCACCACCCTTGCCCGGCTCCGACTATGGCGATGGCTACACAATTCCTGACTATGATGATAGTAAGTGTCTTAGACTTGGCTGCTACTCTGAGGCCACCTACATGGGCCTGGCAGACTCCTGAAGCCAAAGGCCAGGCCGTCCTATCTGTCTATGGAAGCTTCTGCCCCAGCATGTCTTTCAGCTGCTGACCCCAATCCTCTTCCCCTCAGGCTGACCCTTCCTTGGATCTTGCCTCCACCCCTAGCCCAACCGTACACTTGGCAGTGCCCCAGGCTTGCAGGAAAATCCTCCCTTCCGACACATTGCCCTGTGGGTGTTGAGTCCTTCTGCTCCCTCAGATACCCCTATCCTTCTGTTACCTGTCCCTTCCCAGGACCCCAGCCCTCACTTAATTCTCATCACCTCCCCTGCCCTATGTTGCCCAGAGTGGCCAGATCCATACCCACCCATTTCCAGGGAAATCCTCACACTTTTGGTGGTCAGTCCTGGCAGGAGGTCTAATGGCCACTTACTTGCATGTCCATGCTTGCCAGTTCTGATCCTTGCTTCCCTGAGCCCAACAACCAAGGTGAGCCCAGTGCCAGAGGTGGAGGTTAGGAAGTAGGAATCCAGGGCTGATAGTGATTAGCTGTCCTTTCGCTTCACAGTGGATTACTACTTCCGGCATCCTCAGCCTCTGAAGCCAGATGCTGAGGTGGACACAGATGAAGAGGAGACATTGAGTGAGTGGTTCCCTGTCTCTTACTCTCCACATGCCTCATTAGACCCACAGCTGGTTTGACAGGCCCTTCCCATTTTTATCTTCAGAGAAACCTAAAAAGGACAGCAACAGCCCCAAGGAGGAGACAGACAAGTGGGCTGTGGAGAAGGGTACGGATCACAAAGGTAGGGATGAGGTGGGGCTGACACGCTCTTAGATGTCATGTGGAGTCTATGGTATCACCACTCCATTTGCTGCCTTACAGGACCCTGGAAAAGCAAAGAGGAGGAGTGGGCTTCAGTGGAGAAAATCAGTGAGTGATTTATCCTGAGTGGGGTGTTGGGAGCCAGTGACCCAGCGGAGGCCAGTGTCCTTTGGCCCAGGTCCAGGTTCCCTGCACCACAGAACCTTCACCTGTTCCCAATGCCTGGGGTGGCCTTGTGTGTGCAAGCACCTTGTCACAAGAAAGATGCTGGGCACACAGGACAGGGCAAAGACAACACCTTCAGTGCCACGTCATGTCCTCTGGGGTTGGCCTCCCAGAAATTTCATGTAAGCCTCACATCCCTTCCAAGCTGGGCACTGCTAACCTATTCTGGAGATAATTGGAAACAGCTCCTAACCCAGATGTCAGTCATATCTAGAGCATGGCATCAGGGGGCTGGTCACATGACTCACTGGTCCAAGGAGCACTGTTCAGCTGATCCTTCTTCCTCTCCCTTTCCCATACTTCCAGGTGTGGGCAGAGGTGGTATGGGTGTGGGTCTATGGGCCCCACGGCTCCTGGATTCTGGGTATGGTGGAGGGAGGGATGGGCTCAGTGGGCCTGCATCCTAAGTACCATGTCCCTAGAATGCCCTCCCATTGGAATGGAGTCTCACCGCATTGAGGACAACCAGATCCGTGCCTCCTCCATGCTGCGGCATGGCCTGGGGGCCCAGCGCGGCCGGCTCAATATGCAGGTGGGCATCCTAGAGGCCTCTGCCAACATAGGCCAGGGCTTCCTTGGCCCCAGCTTAGCACATACACCCCTTACAGGCAGGACCCAATGAAGAGGACTATTACGATGGGGCATGGTGTGCTGAGGATGACGCTCGGACACAGTGGATTGAGGTGGACACCAGAAGGATCACAAGGTTCACTGGTGTGATCATCCAAGGCCGTGATTCCAGCATCCAGTAAGTTGCCAGGATGGGGGATGGGAGTGTCCCATTGCACTGGGCCCAACCAAGAGAGGTACCTGGGACAAATCAGGCTCTGCTTTTACACCCCCACTCCCCAGCTGTCAAATGGAACCATTTCCAGATGTGCAAACAGATCAGAGGGGGCAAGTGGTGCACCTAGCTTTCAGGACAGCCAATCCACACAGGAGACCCTTCCAGAGAGGGTGAGGGCTCTGGGGCTTGAGTAAAGAATGGCTGTGCTTGCTCTGACTGGCGTGTGCACACTTCCCACAGTGACGACTTTGTGACTACTTTCTTTGTGGGATTCAGCAATGACAGCCAGGCATGGACGATGTACAGCAATGGTTATGAAGAAATGGTGAGCATCTCCTGAGTGTAGCTCTTCCTGGGCTATTTGGATAACTGGGCGCTACTTTCTGAGGCCTTACCTGTCCCCAGATCTTCCACGGGAATGTGGACAAGGATACGCCGGTGCTCAGTGAGTTTCCAGAGCCAGTGGTGGCTCGATTCATCAGAGTCTATCCACTCACCTGGAACGGCAGCCTCTGCATGCGCTTGGAGGTGCTGGGTTGTCCCCTGGCCTGTAAGTGCCTGAGATGGGGCCAGGGTGAGGGTGGACAGAGGCTGGCAGGCAAGGCTGCTGGCTGCTCAGAGGCCACTTGCTTCTCTGCAGCTGTCTATAGCTACTATGCACAGAATGAAGTGGTGGCCACAGACAACTTGGACTTCCGCCATCATAGCTACAAGGACATGCGCCAGGTGGGGAAGATAATTTTTCCAAGCTTGGGGTGTGGTCTTTGGGGGAGGCACTTACGGCTTTTGACGTGGTGGCAGGGTACACTCAGTTATGTGGCTTGTTGGTCCCAAGAGGAAAATTGTCAGTCCCTTACCTGGGGGCTGAGGAGTTGGGTCAAGACTTCCAGTGTGCTTTCCACCTGGTGCCAGCACCTGGGGCCATGGTCACCTTCCCAGAGGAACAGATAAGGAGAGGTGGTGAGCTCTGCCTCTTGGCATACCCCCTTAGCTGATGAAGGTGGTCAATGAGGAGTGCCCAACCATCACCCGAACCTACAGCCTTGGCAAGAGCTCACGGGGCCTGAAGATCTATGCCATGGAGGTCTCGGACAACCCCGGGGAGCATGAACTGGGTAAGCAGGAGGCTCTGGGGAGCCCCAGAGGCTGGCTGACATGCTGCCTCCTTCACATGCTTACCCTCCTGCTTCTGCGGCACTGAGCCATGTTTCTGGACCCATACCCCATGCCACTTTCCTGGGACTATCACTCTAGGTGGTGGGTACTGAGACTGCTCTTCCCCATGTCCACCTTCTCAGTACCACCACTCTGGGTGGCAGGTGCTAGCTGAAACTCTGCTCTCCCCTAACTCAATCCTCCTGACCACTACTCCTGGTGGCAGATACTGAAGCCCTGCTCAACCCCCACGTCCATTTTCCTGGGACCACCATTCTGGGTGGCATGCGCTGAGACTCTGCTCTCCCTCATGTCTATGCTCCTGGGACCATGACTCCAGGTGGGAGGTGCTGAGATCCTGCTCATCCCCCATGTCTATTTTCCTTGGACCTCTACTCCAGGTGGTGGATGCTAAGACTGCTTTCCCCCCATCCACGTCTCAAGACCACTACTATGGGTGATGGGTCCTGAGACTGTCGCATGAGTCGCATGTCCACCCTCCTGGGACCACCACTCTGGGTGGTGGGTGCTCAGAGGCCCTGTTCTTCCAGGGGAGCCCGAGTTCCGCTACACAGCTGGCATCCATGGCAATGAGGTACTGGGCCGGGAGCTGCTGCTGCTGCTGATGCAGTACCTATGTCAGGAGTACCGGGACGGGAACCCCCGAGTCCGCAGCCTGGTGCATGATACGCGTATCCACCTAGTCCCCTCGCTGAACCCTGATGGTTATGAAGTGGCCGCACAGATGGTGAGCACGGTAGCCAGGGAGGTGGATGTCTCGGGGTAGCAGGCCCTAACTGGCTCTTTCCCACAGGGCTCAGAATTTGGGAATTGGGCTCTGGGGCTCTGGACTGAGGAAGGCTTTGACATCTTTGAGGATTTTCCTGACCTCAACTCTGTGCTTTGGAGTGCTGAAGAGAAGAAATGGGTCCCCTACCGGGTCCCCAACAACAACCTGCCCATTCCTGAGCGGTACCTCTCCCCAGATGCCACGGTGAGACTCCAGCAGGATCCTGGCCATGTTCAATATCCAGGAAGCTAGTGGGTGGCTGAACTCGACACTGGAGTTCAGAAGGGTGTAGTTGCCTGCCATATGTCCATCACAAAGGAACATGGAGGCAGGTGCTTGCTGATCCAGATTCACAGCTCTGGCCTCATCTCCTTACTGGTGGCCCCCAGGTATCTACGGAGGTCCGAGCCATTATTGCCTGGATGGAGAAGAACCCCTTTGTTTTGGGGGCAAACCTGAATGGGGGCGAACGACTTGTTTCCTACCCTTATGACATGGCTCGCACGCCAAATCAGGAGCAGCTGCTGGCTGCAGCCATGGCTGCTGCCCGGGGCGAAGATGAAGACGAGGCATCCGAGGCCCAGGAGACCCCAGACCACGCCATCTTCCGCTGGCTGGCTATCTCTTTTGCATCCACTCACCTCACGATGACTGAGCCCTACAGGGGAGGGTGCCAGGCACAGGACTACACCAGTGGCAGGGGAATCGTCAATGGGGCCAAGTGGAACCCCCGATCGGGGAGTGAGTGGACCCAAGGGATATGGGGGGAGGCAGACTGCAGAAGGGGTGGTTAACTGGTGTCTGTCCCTGTCACAGCTATCAATGACTTCAGTTACCTGCACACCAACTGCCTGGAGCTCTCCATCTATCTGGGCTGTGATAAGTTCCCACACGAGAGCGAGCTTCCCCGGGAGTGGGAGAACAACAAGGAAGCCCTGCTCACCTTCATGGAACAGGTAGTGATGGTGGTGAAAGGAGGCAGAGGCCTGGGGGTCCCAAGTAGGGTTCCCATCCGCATGAGTGTCGTCACCTGCCTCCCACTCTGCAGGTTCACCGAGGCATTAAAGGGGTGGTGACAGACCAACAGGGACTCCCCATTGCCAATGCTACCATCTCCGTGAGTGGCATCAACCATGGTGTGAAGACAGGTACATGGCAGACACACCTCACACCCCTTCCCTAACAGCCCCTCTTGTCTGCCACCTGATCGGTAGAAGAGGAGCCTGGGCTGTTGGAGAGTGGGTAGAGGATGCTGACTAGGGGGGATCCTGGGATCAGGGGCTGCTAAGGAGTACTGGGCAGCACCTCAGTTCTTCTTCCACAGCACACGGGGGGGATTACTGGCGCATCCTGAACCCTGGCGAGTACCGTGTGACAGCCCATGCAGAGGGCTACACGCCAAGTGCCAAGACCTGCAACGTGGACTATGATATCGGGGCCACTCAGTGCAACTTTGTGCTTTCCCGCTCCAACTGGAAGCGCATCCGCGAGATCATGGCCATGAATAGGAACCGGCCCATGACTCCACGCCAGCGGCTTTTGCAGCGCCGTCGCCTGCAGTACCACCTGAGAATGCGTGAGCAGATGCGTCTCCGGCGCCTCAACACCACGGCAGGCCCACCACCTTCACCTAGCCCATCCTCCACGCCAACCCCCAGCTCGACTCTGGAGCCTTGGAACCCCCCAGCCTTGACCACTGCCAGCTGGGAGGACCTGGAAACAGAGACCTACACAGAGGTGGTGACAGAATTCGAGACAGCAGACTTCACACTCGAGGAAGAGCTGACCACGGGCTCAAAGCTTTCCCTTACAACAGCTGAGAGCTATACTGTGAACTTTGGGGACTTCTGAGGGGGTGCAGCAGTGCTGCTGGAATTGGCCAGCTCATCAACACAGAGGCCCAGATTGGTGTGGACCTGGCAAGGAACACCCAACCTCATTAATGAGCAAGAACATGATGAATTAAGAATCTGCACAGGTGGCACACCTCCAGGTCCTAGGCCAGACTAGATGCTGAGGTTCCTGTGGAGTGGTCTTAGGGGTGATAAAGCCTACAGTAGACTCAGCCTCCTAGCCTGGCCCTTCCATTAAAATACACTCCCACAGCACACAGTTCCCTCTCACCCTTAACCAGATTACGGAGGGAAGGGATGGGTGGCTTCTGGGAGGGCAGGGTGCGGTGCTCACATTCATGTTGTTTCCCTATGAGTCCCCTTCATCAATGAAAGCATGCCCACTTCACATGTTCCAAGTCAGCCCAGGAGCCTTAGGTGTGGGAAATTACATCTAAGATTTATTTACAAAGTGAAGGCAAGTGCAGCCCCAGCCTGTGGTCAGGGTTGCCCTGTGGGTTAGGGACCCAGGCCTAGTCCTCCCAGGACCTCATCCTCTGCTCCAAAACTTGAAAAGTGAATGGGCTGGCAGACCATGCTGCGTAGGTTCACCAGGCAGGCAGTCTGTGTGGCACTGAAGTCTGGGACAGATACAAGGAGCACGGTCTGGTTCTCAGGGCCTGAAAGGAAGTCAGATGGGAACTCCCCTTAGTTCTGGGTATGTCTGGAAGTGTCCAGGGACCCTTGTTAGAGCACACAGTGGACCAGACATGGGAAGAGTTGGGACTAGCCCAAGACTGAGCACAGCTGAGAGTGGTTCCACCCTGTTTCAGACATCCTGCCAGTCACCTGAGTGCTGCAGAAATCAAAGAGCTGTCTGAGAGCACATGCAGCCTCCACATTCCAGGCTGGGAGGGAACCACAGCGCTGGACTCATAGGGCATTTACCTTGGATGACTCTTGAGCCGAAGCTGGAAGTGTTGCCACAGAAGTAGATGTGAGGACATTCAGGAAAGATGAAGGGGTCTGTTTTGTAAAAGGGGTAGCAGCCTATAGGAGAAAAACGGGTGGGGATGGAGTGTGTGTACCAGAGTGGTTACTAAGCCTCTGTCAGTCAGGGTGGGCACTGAACACAAGGCTCTGCCATGGACAGAATGAAGATTCTATAGTAGCTTCTAGGAGTAGCAAGCTTCTGATCATCTCCGTAGTTCCCAGCCAAGATTCATCACACCAGTTCAGAGTCGGGAAGCCTCTGAAAACTAGGGTCTCCTGTCTCCTTCCCCTGAGCCTACCTGGTGGTGGTGGGGTGTGTGTGTGTGGGGTACATCTCATTACCTAGTGTGTCGGGGGCTGTGGGGCTGACATGACGGATCCTCAGGGTCCACTCCAGGATTTCCAGGTGATCCTCCATACTGCTGTATCTGAAGATGTCACTTACGTTCTGTCCAGAAGTCCCCAGGAATCTGCAAAGCCAGGCACTTCAGCAGGACAGTCGCCACTGAGGACCCAGATATCCCTGGGAGCCCCAAACCAATCTTGAGATTAAAAAGGTGGATTCCTACTCACCTGCCACTTCAACCCACCACCATTCCTCATGGTCCCACTGGGGGTTCAGATGATGCTGCTACAGTACCTGACTCCATCGATGGTGGCCTGGTAGGGGTTGGTGACAAGCTGGAGTGTGGAGTAGGCAGTGGCTAGAGGGAACATGCAGGGATGCAGGGGCTGCTGAGGCAGCGTGTAGTTGGTGGGGTCAAATTCTCCAGGCATCACATCCACAGGCACTGAGGCCTGTGGGCCAGAGAACAGAGCAGTGCATCTTTGTCATGTTTGATGACTGCGTCTTATTCCCTGCCCACCTCACAACCGACCTCTTGTCTCCACTCTAGGCTCATATTGTCACCAAGGCAGGTTCAGACTGACCACTGCCACGTCCTCACCTTCCTTCCCTAGCCCAGCAGTGCTTACGCTCAGCTGCAGGAGAATCTCATCCAACATCTTGATGGCCTCCACACTGGCTGCCTGGGTTTTCTTTGTGAGGTACTTTGCCTGCAGGAGCAGCATAAGAGCACACTAGCCCAAGCACTGTGCATCCTGCCATCCCTCAGGGCCTCCAAGCCTGCACCTCCCCAGAGCCCTGCCACTCAATGTCTTTTCCAGGCCTGGCTCAGGGTAGGATGTGTACCTTATTGATGGAATCTCTGCTCTGAGTGTTCTGGCTGAGAAGGTTACCAGCCAGGATGACTCGGGAAATGTGGGCAGCACTGCACTGCTCCCCTTCATCCCCAAGCTGTCCTGTCACCATGTCCACCAGCAGCTGGGTGCCCAAAAGGCTTTCACCACCTCCACCACCAAGACCCAGACCGGACACCAGTAGCACAAACCTGCAGGAAAAGCTGGGTAAGGGGTGCAAAAGGAGGCTGCCTCTAGACTGGGATGGAAGCCCCCAAAGAGCTAGACTGTCAGGAAACAGGATGGGGAACCCTTGGACTGTGGAAGGAGGCAGCAAACACCAACAGTATCTCCATTCTGGATCCTCACCTGTCTGTGTGTAGGGAGGCCAGTGGCTTCTGAGGAGCAAGGTCAGCGAAGCAATGGTCCTGCACCACAAACTTCCCATCATCTTTCCCAGAACCAAACACAGCCAGGACAGTGCCTGTGGAGAAATGTGTCAGAGCCTGAGGGCAGGTCAGAGGACCCAGGCCTTCTACCAGGTACCCAGATGGCAAGCCTAGTCAGCCCTTCTGCCATTCTGGTGAAGTCACCAGTTAGAATACCATGGCCACATTCTACTGAGTCTGCACCTAGGCTTTCTGCCTGGATCCAGCGGCTGCTCTAGTAAGCCTGAGAACTCATCAGACACTGACTTGACATTGATTTGAGAGGTGCCCCAACATGTTTTGGCTTGCTCTTACCTGTAACCAGCTTTGCTACGTCTATGGCACCTTCCAGTTTAATTCGCTGCAGTTCATCTTCTAAGATAAGCTCGTCATTTGGGTGGATGTATTTGCTCCGTGGAGGCTGAGGGAGGAGGTTGTGCTGGAATGTGGAGGGAGAGAGGTCTTGGGCCAGGGCACAGGAGGCTGGGCAGTGTGAATGTAGAGGCACTATAAACAGCCTCCTGAGGACCCACATTTTCTAAACCTCATCTACAGAGCCAAGGACACATCGGGGCCAAAAAGGACATTCTCTAGGGAGGTGAGTCTCTGCTCTCCCAACACCACAGGCTTCAAGCCTTACCTCCTCACTGACTTCCCGCAGGATGGAGGGCTGAAGTTGCATGGCTTTGAAGAGAGTCCCCACCACACAGCACTCCTCGCCAGGCTGCAGCTCACACAACTTCCTCACTTGGATTCCAATGCCTGGGACAATGACAAAGCCTTAGGGAGCATCTCACCTCTGCCCTGATGGCAGCCCAAAAGTGACATAAGAGACATTCAGAATAAAAAACTTCACATCCTCAGTAATTCTTATAGAGCCAATGGACCCTGCCTTGAGATGAGGGTAAAATTCTTGTTAGAAAAATTCTGAGATCCTTAGGAAGCATGGTAAGAGGTACAATCAGAACATTTTACAGAAAGGTACACAAGAATGTAGCTGAAGGGAGGCACAGTGCAGTAGTGGAATGGATGACAAGATTATTGTATGAAAATTGAGTGTGGTATGCAGTGAGGAGTGACAGAACATGAAATGTAGGAATGTGTACAGAGAGGTGGGTTGAGGAGTGTGGGGTGGAGGAGTGGTGTGGACGAGTACATTGTGGAGGAAATGTGGTATAGAGGAATATGTCGTGAACAAATATGTTATAGAGGAGTGTAGTTGGAGGAGTGTGTGGTAGAAGAAGGTGGTGTAGATGAGTGCTGGAGAGAAGTATGCTAGTATGGTAGAGAAGCATGGATGGAGGAGTGGTGTGTAGGACTGTGTGAACAGAAGTGTATGGTGGAGGTCATGAATAAGAGTGGGTTGTGGATGAGTGCTTGTACAGGAGTATGTGGTGGAGGGACATGCACTGGAGTGTGTGGCTGAGGGTGCATGTGCAGGTATGAGTGGTGGAATCTAGGTCATGGTTAGCACATGTCCAAGAGTGAATTGTGAAGGAATGTGGTATATAGGAATGGGACTGGTGGGATTCATGCTTAGCAGCTATAATGTGGTATAGTCTTGTGTATAGGAATGGAGGATAAAGAACTTGGGTAATAAGAGAAGGTGAGGATGATGAGCATGATCAGTTGAGTAGGAGTTGCAGGTGAACTATCATGCCATGTAAAATTTGTTGGGATTTTTTGGTGTAAAATGTGAAGAGTGTGGAAGGCTACAGAGTGTAGGAGGTGTCAGAGGAGTCAGTCTGCAGGCCTCCAAGGGCAGGAAGAGCATGGTGTGTAGGAACAAGAAACCATCAATGTTTGCTCACTTGAGAGCTGAAGAAGCAAACATTCTCGAAGGCCTCCAAACCCTAGAGCAAAAACTGTAGGTGGAAATGTGTCCAGGATAGTCCTAGACTCTCAGGTTGATATAATGAAGTTCATTTCAGAGATGTCTACACAGAGAAGTAGAGGGGGAAAGGTGGTAAGGAGCTGCAAGTGGTTCAAACCACCAGTTGCTCTGCAGGAGAAAGATGGCAATCAACTCCTGCATGATTTACAGCCTCTGAAAACCTGCTGTAGGGCCAGCTATGGGTAGGCTCCAGCTCCATGCTCAACAACAACAAGGCAGGCCCTAACATCGAAGAGAAATGACAAACCCCTAATTATCAAGCTACTACCAATCTTGGGCCCTAACAGCAAGACCACATTCAGCCCCGTCTTGTGTTGGGCTGTAATAAGTACCAACATATCAAAGTGGACAAAAGGCAAAGCTGTGCCCCTCAACGAGCTTATTCCAGACAGGAGAAAGGTAAGATAGCAAACAGTCAATGAGTAATTAGCTGCTGCAATAATGCCATAAGTAAATGGGAAGTGAGCACTTATCAGTAAGTTTTAAGAGCTTTCTTGAAGGATGGGACAATCTAAGATCCTAGGATGAGAACTAGCTCTGGGAGGGGAAAAAGGGGAACAGGTAGAGAGGAAAGTCAATTACATCAATGACAAGGGAAGGAAATGCTGTGTTCTGGGCAGGTTGGGTATCATGGAGGGATGCTAGGGTGAGGAGAAAGTGACAGGTCACAACCTATGGATACAAGACATGCTGTACTGCCACCTCCCTGCTTTTAAGTCTCTTAGGGAAAGCCCTACTCTTTATGGAACTCACAGGTCTCCTGACTATACCCAGTCCCAAGTCTTGTCCTCAGAATCTATTTGCAGAACTAAATAGCTATTTGCTGCCACTAGATTTTGGGTAATCTGTTAAGCATCATTTCTGGAAGATAAAGTTGGCACCAGAAAGGAGTACTGACAGGAAAGTTCCAAAATGGGGCACTGGGGAAAGTTGTGCTACCTTAAAGAAGCAAGAGAGAGCACATCTAGTCTTTCTGGACCATAGACTCCTGTGTGAGATGGACCAAGACCAAAACGCGGCAGCAGCAGGGGTGATGGAGAACCAGAGACCAGTCTAACAGAGCTGAACTAGAGCCAGAGCCAACTGTGTTTGCCTAAACTTACTGGCAGCAGAGTGGGGGATGACTTCCATAATTGTAGTATTAAAGGAGGTTTGTAACACTAGTCGAGTGCAGCAAGACAAAGCACAGCAGCACTGGTGATGTAGTGCACAGTGGTGCAGCTGCAGCACTGCTAACCAAAAGATGAGGTTACCAAATCTACTAGCAGCTCCTTTGGAAAAAAACAGGGAATCTTCTCCAATGCAACTCCTAGCCTCAGAAATCTAACGGAGGGTCAGCTAAGAGCTGGCTCTGACTCGATGGCACCAATTTTTCCAGTGGCTGTTTCGAAAAACACCTGGCATTGGGACTAAGCAGAAGTGGCCACTGGAAGGACTTGAAGAAAACATCCCCAAGGACTTAAAGGAGAGCAAGGAAAATGCACTAGGCGTGAAGGAGAGACTAATTAGGTAGAGGTGGAAAGTGTAGTAAAGTAGAAAACAGAAAATATCCCAAATTAGGTGGAATGAGGATGGTGCAGCATCACTTTTTCTACTGCCTGTAATAAAATAAGAATCTGATCCTCTTGGTGTGAAAGGAGCTGAGCATCAAGCCCAGCAGTGGAAATAACAAAAATGAATCAGGCATGGTTCCAACCTACAAAAATTATTATTAAATACAGAGTAAGTACTACAAGAGACCTACATAAATGGAAAAACTATCATGCTCATAGACAGGAGGACTAAAAGATGACATTATATAAGTAGAATGCAATCTAGATCTAGATTCCATCATCATTTTTGAAAGTGATGGAAAAAATGATCAACTACATAGGAAAGGAAAGAAATAAAAATAAGGAAAGTGCTATAGAATAAGAAAAACTAGGAGATATTCCTGATCTCAAAACTTGCTACTACACAGCCACAGATCCATACACCTTGGCACTTGTACTGGCACTGGGACAGAGGCAAAGACCAATGGAATAACCTGGGGAGTAGAAACAGTATCCATCCATCAGCTGTCAAGACAAAGCTCTCTGACAAAGAGATGAAATCCATTTAGTGAAGAAAAAACAGCTTATTTAACAGATGATACTGGCAAAACTGGCTAGCTATTTGCAGAAAATGTAAAAAGATCCCTACTCAAGATGGAATAAGGATGACCTTGGCATAAAATGTAAAACTAAAAAGAGAAAACTGGGGCAAATTTAAAGACTGTCATCTACTGCATAAATAGGCAAATAAATATAATAAAAAAAATACATTCCAAAGACTATCAACTTGACATATGGCAATGCCCAAAAGCTGGTCCTTATGTCCATCAAAAGACTGCTACAAAAGAGTAAAAAGAACCTACAGACAGGGACAGCTTTTTAGCAATGATGCATCTGATAAGGACTTATCCCTAATATTTATAGAAAACTCTAGCACCTCACCAAGAAGTAGACAAATAGCTCAATTACAAAATGGGCAGAGAACATGAAAAATTTCACCATTCATCTGAACACAAACATATGAAGAAATGTTCACAATCATTAGTCGCTGTTAAGTGCTGTGTAACCCAACCCTATGAACGGCAACCCTATGAACACTGGCTCCGAGCCCTACACCACTTGGTGCCATCATGACCATCTCTGACAAGTATACTTGTGAGTCATTAGAAATGTTACTAAAACTAAGCTATCAGGCCATTGCAATAAGAACTTGTTGTCATATACTGTCAAGTTGGAAAAGACTCATTGCCACCCTCCAATGGGTTTCAGAGACAGTAAATTTCACTGCATCCTGTGGAGCAGCTAGCTGACTGATGCAAACCACTTGCTTTTGGGTTGACAGTGCAACTCCTTAACACTAGGACACCAAAGATCCCTCTAATAACAACAGCAATGTCCAATAAGACACAAAACAAGAAATGCTGCTATGGGTGTAGAGAGATTGCCACTCTCTTACACTTCTGGTGAGGATGTAAAATGCTTCAACCGCTATGGAAGGCAGTTTGGCACTTCCTTACAAAGTAGAGAACAGAAACACTACTTGGTTCAAGAATCGCACTCACTCTCATTGGTACAGCTGATCTTCCATTGAGTTTCTGAGGCTGCAAATCACAAGGGAGGAAACTGTTCAGCTTTCTCCTAAACTGGTGGGTTCAAACTGCCTGAGAGGAGTGGAATTTCCTACAAAACTGGCCTCGTTCCCTAGCAATCCCACGACTAAGCAGAAAAAAATGACTTGTCCCACACACCCACATTTAATGACAAAGAGTTGGAAACAACCCAAGTGGTCATCAACAGGTGAATGGCTACATATAATATAAATGATATCGAGTGAAATAAGTCAGCCCCAAAAGGTTAATTATGGCATAAGACCATTATTATAACAAGTAAGGAAAAGTTTATATACAGAATCATTCTTGGATGACTATCCCAGATGGGAATGGAAGGAAAGAAGAGTAAAAATAATAGGTAAATTAGGCCAAAAGGAAATGCAGTATATTATTATAAACTGATAGACTATAATTAATTATATTAACCAGTGGTAATTAATATTATAAAGTAGAATTGCCTATGAATGAGTGAATGAAAAAATCATTTATTAGCTTTCATTCAAAGAAAATAAAGTTTAAAAGAATTAGTAGGAAGAAATTTGAAATTATATGGAAAGATAAATTGTTAAATGTGATTCAGTATAACTATGAACAATAGCTCTAAATCCTGCCAATCTTACTGACTCTGACTCCATTACTCCAGTTACTGTGTCAATCCATCTCATCCAGGGTCTTCCTCTCCTGTGCTGTCCCTCCACCCTTCCAAGTATGATGTCCAGTCCCTTC